CCCTCACCACGTCCCCCCGGGACCCGGTGTCTGGCCTGTTCACACTGGACACCGCGCCCCCCCCGGTTGAGACATCTCCCCAGGGGGCTGCGCCTACCCAGGTTGCTGCGGCCTACTCGTGTCGGTCGCTTCCTCACCCGACACTTCTGTGGCACCACCGTCTAGGTCACCCCGTGCTCTCGCGTCTGCATCACATGTCTTAGCACGGTCTTGTCCTAGGTTTCCCAGAGCCGTTCACTGAGTTGCCCTCCTTCCCAACGCCGCCGTGCACGCCCTATATTGAGGGCCGGCTCCGCCATGCCCCTCACTCCTCCTCGTTCCCCACACCGCCGCACCGCTACAGACCCTGCACATGGACGTCTGGGGCCCTGCCCCCGTCCATGGGCCGCGTCGAGAGCGCTACTTCCTTGTGCTTGTCGACGACTATACGTGCTACACCACGGTTTTTCCCCCGGAGCGGAAGGCCGACGTGCCTGACGCTCTTATCCTGTGGCTGGTCTCTGCACGTGTGCACCGCGGTCTCCCTGTTTTGCGTCTTCACTCCGATCGTGGTGGCGAGTTTGCCTCCGTCGTCCTTGGTTGTTTCTCTCATGTGGAGGGCATCACGCAGAGGTTAACCCTGCCAGACTCCCCGCAGCAGAATAGGGTCGCTGAGCGATGCATCGGTTTGGTCATGGAGGTGGCTTGTACCTCCATGATCCATGCCGCACCCCATTTTCTGTGGCCGTTCGCCGTTCGCTACGCCGCTCACCAGCTTAACCTGTGGGCGCACCCCCAGCAGTCGCAGGTTTTGCCGACCCTTCTTTGGACCGGGTCCCCTAGTGACGCGTCTGCGTTCCACGTCTAGGGTGCCTTGCTCACGTTCGTGCCTCTGGCACGGACAATGTCATTGCTCGCACTGTCCCTTGTGTCTTCCTAGGTTTCCCCCTCGACTTGTCTGACTAGCATTTCTACCACCCGCCGTCTCACCGTTTCTTTCACTCTCGCATCGTCACCTTTGACGAGTCCATCTCTTTCTATCACCGCTTTCCCCACCGTGGTCCCCTGGTTACTCCCCCCTTTTCCTGGTTCCCCCTCCCCCGGTCGCCCCTACTCCTCCCCCTTCCTGCCCTGCCCCGTCTAGTGTGTCTCATGTCACCCCCCTCCCGTCGGTTGTCCCGGTCGAGGAGTCTGCTGACTCTGGTGGCCGTGTGGCACAGTCCTTGCCGCCCGCCCCTCCCCCGGTGTCTCCTCCTCCGTCGTCGGAGCAGCCGTCGTCGCAGCCGCAGCAGCAGCAGTTCGTCGACCCTGGGGGTGCTAGCGTTGAGGAGGGTGCTCGTTCTGGGGTTACTGTCGTGGCTTGTCCCCGCAGGCCTGGGGGTGGTACCGGTGCTGGAGAGGTTCCTGGTTCTGGGGGTGCTGGAGTGGAGTGTTACGGAGTTGGCTGTGGAGCAGCTGGCGGTCCCGGTGTCTCCGTCGTGTTGCCGCAACAGCAGTTGCCGCAGCTGTCAGCCCTTCGCCTGCTCGGCCTTCCGTCCCCTGACCGCGCGTCTGTGCCTCCTCCATCGTCTGCTCCCGTTCCTGTCTACGGCCCCGTGTTCCCTCCTCCGAACTCCTCTTCGGCTCGTCTTCCCCCGCGTTCTCCTCCTGGTTCTTATTCTGCCTCCTGACCCGACACCTCCATCTCACGTCTGGTCCCGCCGTCCCTCTCGGGCTTGTCCTGTCTCTCCTGTTCCGCGCTCTCACCCTATGTTGCTCCGTTCCCACGCGTATCGTCCTCCCCTCCTGCCGTCGCCTCCTCCGTCCTCCCTTGTTGTCGCGCCTCCCCCTCTGTCTGACTACCTTCGTACAGCTCGTCCTCTTGTTCCTCGGGTCCTTGCCTCTCTCGTTACCGACCCGTCTGTTCCTGTTTCGCGCCTTGACGCTCTTGTCGCTGCGGTCGCTGACTTCGCCTCTACCCGCTGCCTTGACTACGCCACTGCTCTGGTCTCTGACCCTACTCGTCCTCCATCCGTCGGGGGTGCTCCTGCCCTCGGCAGTGATGTCCTAGAGGACCGGCAGTACGAGCTTGCTTTCCAGTCCGAGGCTGCTCCCCATCTCTGTTCCATGGTTCTAGTCCCTGAGGGTGACCCAGACGCTTTCGACATCCCGACCCCTCACACCTACGCTGAGGCGGTCTCAGGACCCTGGGCCTCTCAGTGGATAGCTGCCATGGAGTAGGAGATGGCATCTTGGAGATCCACCTGCACCTACGTCGATGCAGTTCCCCTACCTGGGGTGAACGTAGTCGATGGCTGGTGGCTCTTCAAAGTGAAGCGCCCCCCTGGAGAGCCGCTTGTGTTCAAGGCGCGCTACGTGGCTAGAAGCTTCAGTCAGCGTGAGGGGTTGGACTTCTTTCAGACCTTTGCCCCGACCCCGAAGATGACTACTCTTCGAGCGTTGCTACCCGTAGCAGCACAGCGTGACTACACGTTACACTCCCTTGACTTCTCCACTGCGTTTCTTCAGGGCAACCTACACGAGCATGTCTACCTGCGCCGCCCTCAGGGCTTCACTGGTACCTTCCTTCCTGGGACCCAGTGGCTACTGCGGCGCCCAGTCTACAGCTTGCGACAGGCGCCCCGTGAGTGGCACGACACACTGCGTGCTACCCTTGCTGACCTGTAGTTCATTCCGTCCTCTGCAGACCCCTCGCTCTTCGTTCGTGCTGGCCAGACCCCGTTCTACATCCTTGTTTACGTAGACGACCTGGTCTTTGCCACTACAGACAAGGACGCACTGGCCTCTGTGAAGGCAGAGCTGCTGAAGAAACACACCTGCACTGACCTAGGAGAACTGTGCCACTACCTTGGCCTTCAGATCTCCAGGGACAGAGCAGCAGAGCTCCGGTGCCAACACAGCTGATATCTTTACGAAGGCGCTTGCGCCTAAAGATCATCAGCGGCACTGTGTACAACTAGGTCTCGTTCCTGTAGCCCCTCACTTGCAAGGGCCCTGATTATGTACAGACCTTTATATATATTTTACCCTGACTGGCCTTGTGGCCTCTCCCAGTGGCTGGACTAGTAGTGTCGCCCTGGTCTTGCTCTTGTCTTGGTTTGTACTTGTTTGACTGGTCTTTAGACCCTTGCCTAAGAGGTTGGACTAGTAGTGCCACCCTTAGCTGCTTGTCTCTCAACAGACACTGCCCCTATCTAGTCTAGGGGATGTGTCAAACACATTTGTGTGTGATGTTGTAGACCATATAGGATTGTGCCTTAGAGAGTACAGCCCCCTAGGTTATAATGCCTTGTACTCTCACAATCTAGTCATTCTTTCAGTTTGATACGGTCGCCGCGGTGGTGAAGCGTGCGGTCGAATGGCATCTCGAGGAACACGGGGGTTTGATAAGCATTTATCATATTCCACGTGTTGATGCCATGGTCGATAACGTTCTTGCTGATGAAGTGCCAAAAGCTTTGGCTCTTGGGCTTGCAGTTTGCGGGCAACACACGGGCAAGTTTTGGTATGGGGACAGATTCGCCAGTGTAGCAAATTCCAAGCCTGTAGGCTAAACATCCGATACATGCTTACCTTTCGTCAGCCGCTGACCGATCTTTGTCTTCACGTGAACAGTGAGACCCCACCTGGCGCGGAAGCGAAAGGTCCAGCGCGAGGAAGCACGCCAGTCAACTGCAGGATGATGGCTCTTCATGTAAGATCAACTCCAGTGCTGCAAAAGAGTGATGGGGACAGCGAGTCCACGGGAGCGATAGGATAGGAAATTCTTGTACTCCATGGCGGGGAACTTTGCAGGCCGACCGCTGCCTACGAGACGTCGACAGCACGGGGCTGCTGCCTTCATCTTCTCTTCCGACTTCAGCCATCGGCGAATGCTGATGGGCTGCACGCCAGCGAAGCGTGCAGCAGCGCGGATGGGAAGCTTATTTGTCCGCATCCGCTCCAGCCACTCCGTCTTCTTCGCGATGGTGTGGTTCACGCGCTTGTGCAGATTCGGCTTGTTGCGAGCAGTGGGAGCTCTTCCATCTCGGTTGGCGTCGGAGGCATCGATGTCGCGAAGGATCTCAGGAGGGAAGTGCTGGACAGGGAAACTGCGGCGCGAATCACTGCCTTCATCTGCGTCAGATTCAGCGGGGAGGTGGTCAGTAGGCAGAAAAAGCGTATCGAAATAGTTGGAAACCGGTGGAGCAGGTGGAGCAGGCAGCGCTGGCGGCGCCGGGGGGGGCGGGGGAGCTGGAGGCGCAGGAGGCGCCGGTGGAGCAGGAGGCGATGGAGCTGCGGGCAAGTTTGACTGACAGGCGTCAGATCGGTTTGCTCTAGCTAGACGACTATGCATCAGAAACTGTAAAGCCGACATGATCCCAGTGGCGAAGGGACTACCGGAGCTAGGGAGGAGAAGGAAGATGCCATCCCTAGGCTTTGGCTGCTGGATTTCTAGCCGTGGAAGAAAATGGAAATGACTAGGGCTCGCTGCGACTACCCCCCTCTGAAGCCGGTATTGGGAAAGACGAGAAACGGAGGCGCTCAAGAGGGTTGTCAAGCTGTGCAGCACTGGCAAAAAGGACCATTCACAGTTGAAATCTTCTGCTCGATTCCATAAACGTGCCTCCACTGCACCAAAGATGAGTGTTGGCAGTCAAGCTGCCAACTGCCTTGCAGAAGCAGTGTGTTAGCAGCCTTCGGGGTCCTTACAGGTGGCGTGTGGCCTCGGGATAGCTTGCGGTACAATTGCAGACCCCCTTGTCAAAACAAGACTTCTAACTGTACAGCATAAAAAATCACCTCAATGTATAAAATAGATGTCAGCCATATAAATGCACTTTTCAAAAATTGCCTGAATTTTCCAAGAGTCCCTATGGTGAAATATGCGGGGGATTACGGTAGGCCGAACCTTGGAGTTCGAGGTTTCTGGTGTACGCGCTGTAGTTTAGCGCAGTAAGGAATGTTATTTCCTAACCCACCACAAGCGTGCGTACGGGTAACTTTCGCACTTATGTACTTAGTATATCTCTATTTATGCCAAAGGGGTTTAGAGGTTATTGTAACGTACATCATAATATCATATCCTATGTTTGTCAACGATTACAGCTAGGTTCTACCACGACTCCATACACCAACACTTCACCTAAATCCATTGCATTGTCAACTATTACAACCAGACTGCACCATGGCAAGAACAGCTGGTAATTGTGCTAGTTAGTTTCCACAGGGCAGGACTTCGAGGTTCTGCTTATGCCTAGCCTATAATAGGTTGCGGAGGCGACGCAGCAGCACAGAGATGTCGTTTGCATGGTCAGCCGAGTACCGCTCAAACAGTCGGCGGATGGGAGCTGGAGGAGGGGCAGGCTCCCCGGGAGGCACATTGAGGTATGTGTGGAACAAAGCATGCCACATGTCATGGTTCCAGTACCTGCCAGCCACGCATGGCACATGCACGCACAAAGCAGGGAGGGGAGTAAATTTAAGAGATATCCTACGGGGGGCTTCAGGGAAGAACGAATGCATGGAGGAGATATCCTAAGGGTGGCTTCTCCCTGACCTTTTGAGGTGCAGCCTTGGGCGATAATAAGCAGCCATGCCATCAGCTGCATCATCCACATCCGCTGCCATCCCACTGCCAGTGCATCCCTCCCCTGCCTCCACCCTCTCCACCTCCATATACTGCCCGTGCAGCAGACAATAGGCCGTGGCACACACCGCAAACAGATCCGCCTGGGGAGCAGGAGCATGCATAGACATGGGGATTCAGACCAGAGTGTTGGTGATGGCGTGAGTATGGGCCACATGACAAGCAAGAATGAGTGTAGAATGAGTGTGGGGCACAAGGCGTGCTTGTGACTGCCAGGAGCTGCTTGCACGTCCCTTGTTCCCTCACCCGGTTTCGTGCATTGGATCACAAGGAACGTGGCTCTTGCACGTTCAAATTATCCCACTTGGCACAGACATATTACATGAGTGGTCCACGGGTGACCACGGCAATGGTTGCCATACCTGAGTGGTCCACGGGCGTCCCTCCAGAATCTTCAGGCAGTGGAAGTTATTATGTTTTCACTTAAAGCTGTGAGAACGACACTGCTCGCGTAACCTGCGTGGGCCATGGCCGACCACGACACAGCTTTCCTTGCCGTACCTGAGTGGTCCACGGCCGACCCTCCAGCATCTCCGGGCACCGGAAATTCCCCGTGCCACCGTCAGAGACAAAGGAGGAACCTTCGGGGAAGTGGCGCATGTCAATGCTCCGTCCGTAGTCCACCAGCGTTAGGCCCTGCCGATGCAGCGCGCGGGGGATGGAGGAAGAATATATGTTTCGTCAGATCTTGGAAAAAAAAGGGTTGATGAATTGACTTGGCTTTTGAGCCGAAATCAAAGTGTCTAGACGACCGGAGTGAGGCACCGACGATGGAAAGTGTGGGGGATGAGGGGAAGTATGGTGGGAGATGAGGGCTGCTACCTACTGGGGAATAGGAGTATTGGGGGGTAATAGAAAGTAGGGTGGGGGGAGGGGAACGAGTTGGGAACAGCATAGCCAGTGGCTGAATCGGCTCTGACACAAGATAGGGAAGGAGTTGTTGAATCAGATACACGTCGTCCTGGGACCAAGGAGTAGCCTGTAGCCATACGGATCATGCAAAAAAATCATGACTGTATCACGCGTTTCTGGGACACAGATGTGAGTGGTTATGCGATACAACATGGTGTCACTTATTGGTTGTGAGGCATACGCGTTTGTGGGATCGTACCGTGGAAGGTGCGCCGGCCTCAATACCAGCAACCATCTCCTTGGGACTCTCACTGTCCGCCCTGCAGAGCACGGAGTGAGCAATGAAGCACACAGTACAGAGAAGTTAGACTGCAGCACACGCAGCTCGCTCAAACTGCGCCACATGCGAGCACACCACATCCACGTTCACATGACACCACATGCAAGTCGGCTACCCAACTAGCCCAGATTCTACACATTGACATGACAGGCAAAAGGCGTACCCGAATCGCAGGAGGAAGTTATCTGGCTTGATATCCCCATGGAGGATGTGCGCAGCATGCAGGGCGTCTACGGCTCGCAGCATCTGCGCCGTGTAGAAGGCGCACAGGGGCTCTGGCACCGGCTGGCCCTGCTTCTTGAACGCGTTCACCACGTCCTGATTGCGGGGAGGGGGGAGGAGGGGGGGGTTGGGGATGCAGGCATGTGTGCATGGGAGTATGGCATGTGCTGGATGCATGGGAGTACGGCATGTGCTGGATGCATGGGAGTGCGGCATGTGCTGGATGCATGGGAGTGCAGCATCTGCTGGATGCATAGGAGTGCGGCATGTTCTGGATGCATAGGAGTGCGGCATGTGCTGGATGCATGGGAGTACGGCATGTGCAGGATGCATGGGAGTGCGGCATGTGCTGGATGCATGGGATTACGGCATGTGCTGGATGCATGGGAGTGCGGCATGTGCTGGATGCATAGGAGTGCGGCATGTGCTGGATGCATGGGAGTACGGCATGTGCTGGATGCATGGGAGTGCGGCATGTGCTGGATGCATGGGAGTGCGGCATGTGCTGGATGCATAGGAGTGAAGCATGTGCAGGATGCATGGGAGTACGGCATGTGCTGGATGCATGGGAGTGCGGCATGTGCTGGATGCATGCAGGGAGCAAGAAGGGTTAGAGGTGTTGGTTGTGTGTCTGCGTGTGTGTGCGCTCTCAAGTTGTGTGTGTGTGTGTGTGTGTGTGTGTGTGTGTGTGCGCAGTGCGCATGTGCATGAGTGCATGCCTCAGCACACCGGCAGTGCCGCTGCTGGCGAGGGAGGATGTGAGGCTGAAGGCATTGGAGGTGCGTGCATGCATGCATGTTGGTGTATCTGCGTTATTGGTCACACACATGGATGCTTACCTGCAGAGTGCCGCTGTTGCCGAGGGAGCATGTGAGGATGGAGGCATTGGGAAACTCGTGAAAGGCTGATGCCATGCCAAACAGTTGCCGCTGGTAGGATGGGGAGGGGGGGGCAGGGGCGACGAAGGGGAGCGGAGAAGTGAGGGAGGAAGAAGGAATTAGGGAGCATGCGTGGGGGAAAATGCTGGGCTTTGGAATCGATGGTAGGAGGAGCCGCATGCGGAGGGAATAACAGGCTTAAACAGAAGTTACCAACTATCACAAAGGTGCATGAAGGCAGAAGAGAACCTAGGCTAGGCTAGGCTAAGTACCTGTGGACCGTCGATTCGCACGTGGATCTGACGGTAGATGTAGAACTCCCAGGGGCACGGCTTGGAGTGCAGCTGCAACGCAACACAACGTGGGGAGGCACACTATTATTGAGGCGCCTCAAAAAAAGAACCACGAGCACCAATGAAGTGCAGAAGTGCAGACGAGCACCGAGAAACGCATGGCTCCATACCGTGCTGCGTTTCCCAGACAAAGAGAGAAACAAGTGAATCCATAGGGCAAAGAGAAGGGGATAGAAGTGAAGTCATAGGTCAGACTTCATGTGCTGGACATCAAGGGAAAGAGGACAAAGGCTTGCAGCTTGAGGGCTACATTGCGGAAGACCACAGTGCTGTTGGCTGCTGTGTCTGCTGTCTCAGCGGGGGTAAAGTCCTAGTCATCTAAACGATACACTCTACAGACACACGAAGGCTGGGAGGATACGGTAAGAAGCTCTTTTCAAGTCAATAAAACCACCGAAGCCTAGACTGTTGAGTGGAGTCAAATGCCACGAGAGTTAGAGGATCTGGAGCGCACCTTGAGGGCCACATTGCGGAAGACGACAGTGCTGTCTGCTGCTGTGTCTGCCGCCCCAACAGGCGTCTCTGTGGCGCCATACACCTTGGCATACGTGCCCTTGCCCAGCAGCCTCTCCACCTGGTAGCTCCTGCTGCCTGCAGAGAGGGTGAGGGAGGGCGTGGGAAAGGAGCAGAGAGATTGGGGGAATTGATTCCTGGCGCTATACACCACGGCATATGCCCCCTCACCACGTCGCTCCTGCTGCCTGCAGAGGGGGTGGGGGAGGGAGGAACAGAGAGAACGGGGGAAATGATGCCTGTGCTGTGTCTGCCCCCCCAGCAGGCGCCTTTGTGGCTGAACCAACCTTGGCATATGCGCCCTTTCGAAGCAGCCTTTCTACCTGGTAGCTCCTGCTGCTAGCAAAGGGCGGGAGAGTGAGAGGAGCAGAGGGAGAAGGAAAATTGATGCCTGCCAGTTGTGAAGACAGCTTTGGCTGGGTAAAAAGCAAGGGGCAGGGCGTTGGGGATGCATGTGAGTACGGCGCATGGTAGCAGGGACGGACATCATGTTGCCATGTTGACACACGCACCAAGGCAGAAGCCGACCGTGGTCGGATGCCCGTTTAAGAATCCTCAGAAACCACCTCTTTGCCCGAAACGTTGGATGGGATTCCGCATGGAACATGGACTCGCAGAGTAAAACCAATCGTACGTACCAACACACAGGTCAATGGCCTCCCCTGCTTTGCCTTCCCTGAGTGCCTTTAGCCTGGCTGGTATGTGGAGTGGCTCCGAGTGCCGGTGGTAGCCCTGCAGGGCAGCAAGGGAGGGGGGGAGGGTCGGGGAGGAGGTAGAGAGGTGCGAGCATGCAGGCACATCTAAGTTGTTGCAGCTCTTGCACGGGTCACACAGAACGCACTGGCATTGTTCAATGAACAGAAATCGCACACCAGCGGAACTTATCACAGAGACAGAACGGCCAGATATACATTTGACGCCTGGAGGCTGCTATGCAACTCACGGGTTCAGCAGCCAAGGGGGGCTGAAGGCTGGCAAGCAGAGACGCCCTCAGTGATGAGCTCCACGGATTGACCTGCTGTGGCGGGCCCGCTGCAAAGGTGGCCACCTGTTGCATGCAGGGAGGCATAGACACATCATTTGGGGCGTTCTCTGGAAGTCTTGCCTCAGAGGCATCAACCCAAACGAGCGATGGTGGAGGCAGTGGTGGCAGTGGTGGTGGTTTTAAACCAGAAACTTAGTGACGGTAGTTGACCATTGAGAGTAGAGCACACAAACACTGAGAGGCGGTGATTGGAAGCTTACCCTGGAATGATGGGGAATGCACTTGTAGGCCACGGTGGGGTCATCCTGGGGAAGGAGGTCCAGAGGGGAGAGGCAGTCCAGGTAGGGGTTGTTGCAATCCGGAGGCATGGACACATGTGTGCATACAGATGGACACACAGATGCAGTGCAGACAGATGCACGTGCATACACGTGCGCATACACATGCTCATGCCCATGCTCGTTAATAGAACAATGGCAGGAATCAAGATACCAAAGGAAATGTGGGATGGGTTCAAGCATACTAAATCACTAACGAAGCCGCCAATTGCGCCAGGATTTTTAACACAGAGAGCTGCAGAATAGAGCAGCTTGGGGAGGATAGCCAAGGCGGCAAACCCCTCACCAGTGCATGCAGACCCAGAACAGCACCAGACATATACAGGACCTTGGGAGGACTCACCTGTGCGTGCACTGTGGAGTCAAAGCTGAGGAAATGCTCCTCCACCTTCCCACCAGCAGCACCAGCCACAGCGTCTCCTCGCTGCCTCGCCAGCATCTGCCTCAACCCCTGCACCCTCTCCTCCTCCATACCCAGCTCACTCAGCCCCCCACTCAGCTCACTGAGCCCGCCGCTTTTCCCACTCTCCTCCTCCCCCCCACTCCCCCTCTTACTCCTCCGCCTCTTGCTCGCGCCCCTCTCGCCACCCTCACAGTCCGCACTCCCTCCTGCTGCACCCCCTGCTTCTGACGAGCCATCTTCTTCTGACGAGCCATCTTCTTCTGACGAGCCATCTTCTTCTGACGAGCCGTTTGCTTGTGTGGGATCTGAGTGCGCTGAGGGCTCTGGTGGATTAGTCGTCGGCTTATCAGGTGCCTCGGAGCCTGCTGGGTCTGGTTGCTGAGCGATTTGCATGCATGGTGGTGTGGGCATGCCCCTGTGCTGCAGCCAGCAGAGATAGCGCTGCTCCTCAAAGCTCGTCTCCTGGTTGCCGCATAAGACTGCAGGAAGTTGTGTGCAAGCGGAATGAGGCCGTTTCTTAGAATTCTCATATATGGTGGTGACGGGAGCATGCCACTGTGCTGCAGCCAGCAGAGACAGCGCTGCTCCTCAAAGCTCGACTCCTGGTTGCCGTGTGTGATTTGGAGGAGGGGTGTGGAAGACGAAGGGGCTTTTGAGTCGACTCAAAACGGGAGGGGTGTGGAAGACGAAGGGGCTTTTGAGTCGACTCAAAAGGGGAGGGGTGTGGAGGACGAAGGGGCTTTTGATTCGACTCAAAGGGGGAGGGGTGTGGAGGACGAAGGGGCTATTGAGTCGACTCAAAAGGTGAGGGGTGTGGAACACGAAGGGGTGTGGAAGACGAAGGGGCTTTTGAGTTGACTCAAAAGGGGAGGGGTGTGGAAGATGAAGGGGAAATGGCGTGAGAATGTGGGACTAGCCTCCAAGTTCTGTGTGGCACGAGGGCAGCGTGTGGCAGAAAGGGGTGAGAATGGGGGTTGGAATCGCGGGAGCCCCCCTGAGCGCCCCTCAAGCCGACTACACGTTCTTCAAGAGACGAGCACGCTTACAAGCGCTGGCTTGTGGGAGCCCTTTGACGAGAGCAAGAAAAGCACAGAGTTTCACATGGAATGGGGCTGACTGACCTGTTGGAGCATCGTTTGGAGCATAGCGTGACTGCAGGGAGGGAGCTTCTGAGACCTGCCCGCTGGCTTTCAACCCATCCTCGACTCTGCATGGTCAACGGCAGGGGAGAGGAAGGACGAAAGACAAAGAACCAAGGCTATTAGACTGCCATACCGTCCCAAGCCAGGGAACCTGATCCTCTCCCCACGCTCCCTCACCTCTCCTATGTTGTCACTGCCTGGTCCCTGTGACGCCCCTACCTCCACCCTTGCCACACCATCCCAATCCACGCGGTGCACCCATTCCCCACCTACCCCGCCCTCGCTCTCCACTCCTGTGCATCCTCTGCCACCCCGCCTCCACTGCGCGCCCATTTCCCATCCCGCCCCTTCTCTCCTCTCTTGTACGGCCTCTGCCACCCCGCCTCCACTATGCACCCATCTCCCACCCCGCCCTCTCTCACCTCTCCTGCGTGGCCTCTGCCGGTGCCTGTTGATCCCCTCCCTCCACGCGCGGCTGCAACACCCTTCTCCTTGACCCAGCTCCCCCCACTCCCCTCCGCAGCCTCCTTCCTGCTGACGGGCTGTTGAGGAGGTCACATCAGAGGAGGTCAAATCAGAGGGGGCACCATCGAGAGCAGTCAGTGGGAACAGGGTGAGCAGTCAGACACGAAAGTCAGAATAGCGTGCCTTCAGCACAGCCTCATGCACAGCGTAGCGTGCCTTCAGCAATACTGTGTTCACGCGCATTCAGGAAAGGACTTGCTGATGTTTGTAGGCTTCGGATTTCCGTGGCGCATGCCCCATGCCCCATCCCCCAGGCCCCATGCCCCATGCTACGCACCTCTTCAGCTCCTCATCCACGTAGACGTCTATGCTGATCTCAGACCCCGAGTCAGAATCCCTCCTCGCCCTCTTAACCACCTGCAGTTCACGCAACCACCTCACGTAAGCACAAAGTAGCGCAGGCAAAGCAACAAAAGGGCGAGTGCGCAGCATCGCACCTGGCTGCCATCCCATTCGGCGAGAGACGGAATGTTCTCCTTGTGTGGTCCAGCACCCACCGCCGGCTGAGACAACGGCTCCACACCCATGGACTGAGAGGACTGAGAGCCTCGCTTAACGTCGACGCCATTGTCGCTGCCGTTCCCATTCTCCGCCCGACGAACCTCCAGCGTTTCCCTGCAGCAGGAAGGCCCTGGTTTCCCGACTGAGCGCATCTTGTGGAATACACCGGAAACAAGTAATTGATTCAGCGTGTAGCTTACCTATCCCGCAAGTAAAGACAAGGGCGGGGGGGTTGGGGAGGAAATGCACTGTTCTGATACAACCCTCACCTGGTTGTGGCGCGAGGGAATTCAGGCCGTTCTGGTCCTTGGTTTGAGGCTCCTGCGCCTGTGGCGTCACCTGCGGAGTGGATCAGGCCGAGACATCAGGCAAGCCAGTTTACACCTGAAAAAGGTTGCAAGGCGAATGGCGCAACTAGGACGACGTACCTGCCATGATGCCGATTCTGCTGGCCTGGTTCGCTCCCTCGCTTCCATTCATGGACCTGGCCTTCATCTCCTTCTGCACGTTGGCATAGCAAGACAGGACAGGACACTGACGTTAGCACGGATGATGGTTTAAAGCCCGCAGTCCGGATTGTTCAAGAAGGGGGGTTTGCTAAACACTTGAAGCGGTGTAGCGAACTTTTTACTAGGGCCGCGGAGGTTGGAAAACTTTTGGAGGGTTCGCTATACAACCAAAATGTTTCCCCCCGTTCAATTGCTTAACTTTTGGACAATCCGGACCTTGGGTTTTAGGAGACCAGGTTTTCCCAACAGGCTTTGCCAGCAGAAGGAACCATTGACGTTAGCACGTGTGGTGGTTAAGAGAGTCCAGGTTTCCCCAACAGGCTGTGCCAACAGAAAGAGCCACTTGCCTGCATCTGCTTGCGCAGCATCCGCTTGTGCATTCGGTTCTGGAACTCCCTGTACCGCGCCTTGAGCCTCTCCTGAGGCTCCGCCGCTCTGCAGACACGCATCGGGGGGAGCACGCTGACATTAAGAAAGCTTACCATAAGAAAGCTACACCCGGTCTTAGCAAAATCTTCTGAGGCATCGCTCCGTTAGAACAAATCTCGCCTCCAACTTCGATTTACAACTGAAACCATGCAAGACTCCACGGTCGCTCTCCCGCTCTGCTTCCTGCCTCGAGAGGCCTCCTCACCTCTTGAGTCCTTGCCCGCACACCTCGTTGGCCTGCTTGCCATCATGCTTCGTCTCTAGCAGTGAAGCGTGCTTCTGTGAAGTCTCAAAAACCGAATAGCTTCCAGCCTCAACAGGCCCGCTCACCTCTTGAGTCCTTGCCCGTACACGTCGTTGGCCTGCTTGAAGTCATGCTTCCTCTCCAGCACCGCAGCGTATCCTTCGTAAAACAGGCTGTGGCTCAACCCGATGCCGTTCTCCTTCAAAAAGGCGAAGACCGGGAGAGGTTCCCCGGACAGATCCGCCTGCGAAGGCAGGGAAAGCATTGTCGAGAACATGAGAACGGGACCAAGCTCCAAGCTCAAGCTCCAAGCTCAAGCTCCAAGCTGAAGCTCGGCGACAGCATGAACAACACGTTTGTCACAGCTCATTTCTGGACATAAGAATGGATCCGAGCTCTCAATTCCACATAAGGAAAGCGGAGACTGTTACGCTGTCGGATGAAGGGAAGTGAATTACTTACATATTGAATCCAGATCCTTAGATACCGAATGTCGTCCTTGTACGCCTCGTGTCTCAGGAAGGACCTGGTGCATTTTTTTAATGCGTCGCACATCTCCGCCTTGTTCCCGGTTGTTGACCGAGAAATCGTCCATTTTATGTATCTGCATGCATAAGGCGAAGCCATTGGTCTACCAAAAATACAGCGAAAAAAACCCGTGCGTGTAATTTGCTGCATATCTCTCAATTAAAGGTTCTACTGATGAGGTTCCTAACCTGAGCCACGGCGCAAGAGGGTCGTCGCCATTATGTTTCCTTATCTCCTCGAGGAGCGACCTGCGAGCAGGAGATGGATTTCAGAATACGAATCTCGCCATACAGCTACGACAAACGTCGCGAAGGGCTTTCGCGAACAGCCTTTGCGAAAAATCCATAGCGTTACTCATTCCTAACCTTCTTTCACTCTCATGGTCCTCCTCCTCGAGGTTGCTGCCGGCAGTGGCGCTGACAGGTAAGGCCTCCTTTGCCTGATAGTTCTTGGTTCGCGGCTCAATGTTCTCTTTCGCGAGTTCCCAATCCATGGCGAATCTCGGAAGCCGAATATGCTATGCCTGATAACCGAACAGTGGTAGAGTATGACGAGCTCCAAGACAGGAATTTAGAGACGAATATAGAAATAACTCTTAATCCGATGAGTCATATGGACCAACAAATGACGTGTGATTGATAGATGACAAGTAAGCTTAAAACGAGAGAAGAAGGCAGTTCCTGCTACGATTTCTAGGTACCAGAATCTGAACTGCGGGCGACGGACAAGGAAGCAACGCCTAGGGAACCCAAGCTGGCAAACGAAGCCTCAGGGTTGTCGCTGGTGCTCCGAGTGATCACACTTACTGGTGGTGACTAAAAAGGGGGTGTGGTGGTGGTGTGTGTGGGGGATGTTGGGTGGATGATCTGGATGACGGAGTCGCAGGATGGAAATTCAAAACTTTTCGCGCCGAATTGTCAGGGGCTTGGCCAGACTGAAGTCAGAGGACTCTTCTTGTCTTACCCGTTATTCCCATAAGTGGTGTCAAAGGCAACCTGAAATTCGAATGCGATAAAATATGGGGCAATCTATTGAAACAAAGTACAACAATTATTGGGTTGCGTAGCAACCCATTACATTTGGTTTCGAATTTCGGGGAACTAGTATGAAAATTATTTTTTGTTACAAACTGTAAAATTTTTGGGCACCTTTCAAGATACCTGCATGAATAAATAATAAAAAAAAAACGTTTTAATAGCCAAATATGTTTCATGTCATCCACCTCGTCGATAAAAACGGCGGATGGAACGACCAGGAAACAATTTTAGCCTCTACAAAAAGGATTACAATTGTACAGCTCTGCAGGAAATGATGTGAATGCTGTAAAATGAATGCACATGTAAGACAGTTCTGTAGCAAGGATTGATCTGGTACACTTTGGCAGCAAAGCTGCCTGTAAGGAATTACGATTCCTTACTGGGGCTCGCTTCAGCGAGTACACACAAACCTCTCGGGTCCGCAGGCTCAGCCCTTGGTTCTTGGGGCAAACCAACCCCCGCCGACCTATTCGGCCCCAACCTCATCCCGAGTCGGCCCGAACCCAAGTGGACCCCTTCACCCTCGGGACGTTCAAGCCCTTGACAGGTAAAACCCTTGACATTCAACCCTGGTCAATCGTGTTGAGTGACCCGCTGGGGTTGCCCTTGAGATCCTCGGGGAAGGGCCACAGGTGCAGAGCCTGGGGGGCTATGGGCGCACTTACCCGCTATTCAACAAGCCCTTTTAACCCAGTGGTTAGTGGCTGGGTTTCTGACATGGTACATCAGAGCCAAAGGTCTTGGGTTCAACTCCCGGTGCCAGCGCTGCAGAGGCGCTCGTGTCTTCCACCTATCCCAGCGGGGGGGGGGGTGTTGAGTGACCCGCTGGGGTTGCCCTTGAGATCCTCGGGGAAAGGGCCACAGGTGCAGAGCCTGGGGGGCTATGGGCGCACTTACCCGCTATTCAACAAGCCCTTTTAACCCAGTGGTTAGTGGCTGGGTTTCTGACAAATCGTCCTATATATTGCCTAGGCCTCATTTCTATCAACACATTGTAATCACGTTCCCCTTTTTGAAGACTCTGCTGTTCTCTGATTTATAATTCATAACCTGCCCAGTGATGATCACAATCTCTAGCTGGAAAAGCACGTAACATATAGTGCGGACATTTTGAAGCAAAACTCAAAACAAAATAGAAACATATACAAGAGGTAGATATGTAAATTGTCATCCATTACGTCGATTAATACGGCAAATGGAACGACAAAACATATTTTGCCGCAAACAAACAATGCAAGTACACAACATAAAAAACACGATGCAAATGTTTTGAAACAAGTGCGCACATGCTTCAATGATGCAACCAGGATTGATCTGGACACTCTGACAACAATGTTGCCAAGTGACGATCACAACATGAATAAAATTTTAGTACAAAAAAAAGTTACAGATGGTGATTCAATTTGAAGAAAAGTATTATTGCAAAAGGAGACAAGCTTCGTCACATTCTCGCTGGTCCGATGGACCTGCCACCTAGTCTCATTCTCATTTCTCTTCTCTGATTGCTTACCAGCAGCACACTCTAAACCCCTCCTATGCCTAGATATAGGCATAGGAGCACACTACTTGCGGACGTGATTGCTGCACTTTTTCCTACCATGACTGGAGGAATGGTTTCTGCTGCAAGTGGTCTTCCTACTGTTTCAAAAATGAATCTTTGGAGCAATGGACGACGTGGCTCCCCTGTGCATGAGGGAAGTCAAGCTTCTTCCTCTCATTACGACCGTTCCCGCTCTCCACGCAACAGAAATGCTTCTATTACTGCATTGGATTTGCTGTATGGCGCTCGGCAAAACCCCGTTCAGGAACCCGGAATGGCTCTCGTTGGAGATCTTAACGCTTCTAACGGTCGCGATTTTCCCTCCGGGTTTCGCGGAGAGCGGTGTGACGAACGAGAACGTGTCGACACGAAACCGATAGGAGAAAACGCCCCGCCACCCGTGTAACCGTTGTGCGCAACACCCCTTGGCTGCAATCATGACGGTCCTGTGTGTGAGGATCGCAATGATCATCGCAATACAGGGCGCGCAGGTCGACATGATGAGCAGAACCGTGGGCGTGAACAGACGCGTCAGGAACCGGATCGTCAGAATCTTGACCAGCGCGCAAATCGGCAGGAGCGCCAGGATTGTGGCGATCGCCAACATCTGGACACCCACCCCGATTTGGAATCTCGCCCGGCGAATCAGCGCGCACTATAGGATCCTGTAATCATCGCCAATGAAGCTGCAAATTTCGCTGAAATGATGGCGCGCCTGGACCCCGCCACCCAACGAAATTTCCACCGTATCTTCACGAGTGTTGCAACTGGTGAACGCGTTATAGCGCTATCCACTACTTCTACTGTGCCTCGATGTGCATAACAAATTCCTGCTTGTTACATCAACAACGACAACGCTAATAATGATGCAATTCATTACGTCATCGGTCTTCTCTCGGCCCTTCAGGGCGAACAAACCAGTGATCCAGCAGCACCTGCTCGACCTGCAGCCGCAGCAGTGCCACGCTCCCGCCCTCCTCCCGTCGCGGCCGAACCCGAGGGCAATGGTGTAGACGACGACGCGCGCATTGAAACCCTCAATGAAGGTAACGCCGCTCGTCTCGAGTCTGGTTCTACCGTTCCGAATCTTGCTCCTATCCCTCCTGCACATCCTCTGTTGCAATCTTCTTTGGTAAAAAGTGACGGCATTCAAACCCAACTTTTTTGCGTTGAGCGTATCCAAGCTAATGCTCCACACACGCTCTCTGCTTTGCCCCCTAGTGGTGGTGAGTTAGCCGCCGACTATCTCCAACAGATAATCGAGGAGGCGGAGGAAAAGATTTATTTCTTGTTCACCGCAGATCAGCACGGCTTTGAAGTGGCCAATATGGTCTGAAAGATGAAGTATGGGGAGGTGGTGAAAGATAAAAATGTAAAGGCCGCCACACAAATTGTGGCAGCCAGCAAAAAGAGGCCTACTAAACCCACCATCTCTACATCCCGCACCGATCCCCCCTCTCGTAGTAGGGGTGAAGACGCACGTACTTGGAATACGTGGCATCGGGATAGCGATGGTCCATGCTTTTACTGTCGCGAACCTGATCATGGGTTTAAAGATTGTCCTCGATGAGGCCAAGGGGCCAACCGGCTGGCTAAGATTGTCTCGAGGCTTTGATGGTCGCTTCTTTGTAAAACCTTGATTCTATAAATCTATTATTACATGCTAAACTTTGAAGTTGTGCCAATTGGTGATGGAACACGCGGCTCAAACCCGCTTCGAATATAATACGACCAAACGCTATTCAACAATGCTTGAAAAAAAAAAAAAAAAAAAGGGGGGGGGGGGGGGGGTGGGGAGGGGGAAGCGAGAGAACGGCAGAAGTGCCAAAAAAGAGAGGCAATCAAGAAGGTACAAAACGCACGTGGAACATTGGAACACGCACCGTCACGCCGATGAAAACATGACAAAATATTGTAACATTGTTGGTGCACACACTCCGAGAAGGGTTGCCTTCGTTATTGCTTACGCTTTGACTATTTCGAGCACACTTCTCACGCTACGAATGCTTCGGCAAACGTATTTGTCCTGTCGAGAACGATAATTTACATCTGGCCCTTGCTGTTTCTTAATTTTACTTGTTCGCCACCGCCCCATACTAGAGTTTAGCTCTTTCGCCGTACATGTTGCCACATCGGCTGACACAATCCGTATGCGAGGACGACTGCTTGCCTGCTTTGCATGGAGGCCCGGTTGGTGCGATAGCCGCTTCATGCTATCAATTCTCGTGTCGGGCTATCGCCTCCCCTGGGCTTCTTTAAGGCCTACATTGCGGCTTGAGTTGACTCTAACATGCCGAGCCATAATCCACCTTTGCGTGCGCCACCAAATTCGGCTCACAGTCTAGTGGATCCCGCGCACCCTTAGTATAGAAGCCGCCGCGCTTTCCAAGTTGGATCTTCTCGACGATTACTTTCTCGCACGACCTTGGTTCCTTCTGCTAGAGAGGCGTTGGGGTCCTAATAATATTGATTTGTTCGCTTCCCCAGCTAATGCGCAGCTGGCTCGTTCTTGCTTGCTCAAGCTCTCTCACGCGGCAGTCGCGCAGGATGCGTACCTCTCTTAGCTGGTTGGGCGACAACTGCTGCGCCTTTCCTCCTCCACCCCCGATCCCCGCTGTCATCGCCCACGCCCGCCGCTCATGCACCTTGCTCACCCTTGTAATCCCGCATTGGCCTAGCGCCTTTTGGTGGCCACTGTTATGCCCGGACGGCTCCTCTTTGGCCCTTGCTATGGTCGCAACCATTCGCCTTGCTCCTGGCTCTATTTGCTTGTGCATTGGTAGCGACCATCGTGCCTTTAGCGGCGCAGGTCTCCCGAACTCATTGATGTATTCACTTCACTTACTATTCACTAATACATAGCGCTCTGCCTCTGCACAGATTCCTACCTCGGCCGCTTACTTTTGGATCTCTTGACGCTCAAAGTCGGTCTTCGTGCACAGTCTACTCTTCGTACATACAAGCCCTAGTGGCGACAGTATCGAGCCGTCTGTATCGAGCACTCGCTTCCTTGTCTTCCTGCCAGCGACCTTATGGCAGCACTGTTTCTGTTGCACTCGATCCGCTGTGGCGCCACCGTTTTAGCAGTGCGATCCGCATGTTCCGCCATCTCATGTACCCATTGGCTGGTCGGCCTTCCTTCTCCAATTCGCGGTCCGTTATCTTCCTAAGTGAAGGAGTACGCGCAACGCCACTGCAGCAGACCTGCTCGGGCTAAGGAGCCGATACCACCTAAGAAAATCGACGATATCTGCGACGCCTATGTCGCATCGTCCGATCTTGCAATTTTCCAGAATGGGCTGATCCCTCTGCTCATGTTTGCAGCCTTTCTGCGCTTCTCTGATCTGATATCCCTCCAGTGGCACCAGATTGAGTTTGACCGGAACTGTATGTGGTTGTTCATTCCCGGTCGATCAGGGGGGTACTGGTGCATGGGTTCTTGTGGCTGCCTCCTCTGCTCGCCACTGCCCCGTCTCTCGCATCCAACAATTCCTATTCCTTGCTGGGTACTCCGCCCAGTCTCTCGGCCCCCTCATTCGTGTGTTTCAGTCGAGCTCTCGAGCTTTCCCTTCCGATTGCTCCCCTTCGTATGCCACCATTCGGAGTTGGTAACGGGATTCCTTCTCCCAGGTCAGACTCAATCCTGATGTCCTTGGCACACACTCGTTTCGCAAGTCTGCCGCCACCACGGCCATTGATGTTGGTGTTCCTGATCGGCTCTTTAAGGCCCTCGGTCACTGTCGCTGCGACACGGCTAAGGAGCGTTATGTCACCCATCTTGATCGCGAGCTTATTGCTACCTCACGCACCCTTCAGGACCCTCTGCCTCTTCGCTCTAGTCCGACTGCTCGATATGCAACCACGCTTGAGCGTCACCGCCACCGACCCCCTCCCTGATGTCTCGTTTGACCTATTACGACTACACTGCACACTCCTCTGAAACTCGTGTCACAATATGAATGATTTTTTAGTAACAAAAAAAATACAGATTGTGATTCAAGTTGAAGAGAAGTTATGTTGTAAAAGAGACAAGCTCCTTCACATTCTCGTAGGTCCGACGGACCTGCCACCTAGTCTTATTCTCATTTCTCTTCTCTGATTGCTCCCACCCTCCTCTCCCACTTCCCTAGTCGGCATCTGCCGGTTTAGCTTCATCCTTTATAACATCCATGTACTTCTCACTATGAGTGTGCTGTATCATTGAGATATGACCTATGACGACTGCACTGCACACTCCTCTGAAAGTCTTGTCACAATCTCTAGCTGCAACAAAAAGCACGTGGCACATAACGAATACGCCCGAAACAACACAAACAACCACAACCGCATGTACAGACAAACACGAAACGAGACGTCATTCCAGCATACCAACAAAGTTGGAACGCACGTGGGCATGTAATGGATGCGAA